CACTTAAAGCTTCATGGTAATCATAAAGGGCAGGGGGTGTTATTATCCTCATTTTACCAATGTGGAAACTGACATGCGGGGTAAGTACCTTGCCAAAGGTCTACAGCTGACAAGCAGAGAGACTGGACATGAGCTTGCCCGTGACTTCAGACTTTGGTCACCATCTCTAACACATACAGTGTGCTTTTCAGTTGGGCATTCAAAACCTTTCAAAATTTGGAGCCTGGGGCTGGCTCTGTGGTGTAGTGGGTAAAGCCACTGCCTGCAGTGTCGGCATCCTATATGGGTGCTGGTTTGAGTCCTGACTGCTCCACTTCCAATCCAGCTCCCTGCTATGGCCTGGGAAAGCAGTGGAGGATGATTCTAGTGCTTGGGCCTCTGTACCCATGTGGGAGACCCAGAAGAAGCTCTTGGCTCCTGGCTTCAGATCAGCCCAGCTCCATCATTGCAGCTATTAGGGGAGTGAACCAGGGGATAGAAGACCTCTCTCTCTGTCTCTGTAACTAACTCTCAAATGAGTAAATAAATCTTTAAAAAACAAAAACAAAAAACCCCACAAAGTTTGGAACCAAGCTCCTTTCCCATATCTCATTTCTTTTCCCTTTTTTCCCCTCTCCCCTCCTTTCCCTTTCCTTTTCCTTCCCTTCCTTTTGAAGTTTACTTATTTATTTGTAAGACAGAGTGATAGAGAGGTAGAGGTAGAGGTAGAGGCAGTGGTGGAGGTAGAGGTAGAGGCAGTGGTAGAGGTAGAGGTAGAGGTAGTTGTAGAAAAAGAGAGAGAGAGGGAGGGAGATCTTCCCTCTGTTCACTCCCCAAATGACCGCAACATCTGGGGTGATCCAGGCCGAAGTCAGGAGCCTAGAGCTCCTTCTTGGTCTTGTGCATGGGCCATTATCTGCTGTTTTCCAAGGCACATTAGCAGGTAGTTGGATTGGAAGCAGAACAGCTGGTACATGAACTAGTGCTTAATACAGGATGCTGCTGTTGCGGGGAGCAGATTAATTCACTGTGCCACAACGCCAGCCATTCCAGTCTTTTCTTCTGGTCTTCTTCACACTGGAGCCAGCGTGACTTTGTAGGATGACAGGAGTGAGAGTGTGGTCTCTGAACTGACTCTGGACTCTGCTTCTTGCTAATGGTGCTAACTTGGCTACTCAGAGTAACCCTGTGAACTTCCGCAGCCTCATGGGAGAAGTTGAAATCAGATATGCATGGGCGAAGAACCAGTGGAGATGTTGCTGGTGTGCTTACAATAGGTTTGGTGGAGCCAAGGGAAAACACTGAGGGCACGAGAGATTGTTGCAGTGTTTTTGTTTGTATTAAAGTAGATCACTTTTAGGTACAAGGAAAGGAGCCACTGAGGAACAGGAGTAGAAGAAATGAAGGGAGGTGGAAATAGACAGTGGAACACGATTGATGTGAAGTCTTCCCTTTGTGTCTTAAATAAATGGGGGCCTGCTACAGGCACATGGCTGAATTAAAGACCAGAAGGTAACAAAGTCATCAAAATATCCTTGAGTTAGAGTTTGTGGAAGTAAATTGTCTACATGTTCCACTTAAGAATCATTCAGAAAGTCTAAGTAATGCCTGAACAATTGTTGAGAGTGAATTATATCCTGGCTCTATCCTAAGGGTTTTACATTTAATCTGTTCAGTATTGTTACAAGATTAATGCTTTTATAGTTCCATTTTATAGATGAGAGGGATGAGAAATTAAGCCTTACATAACTGTTAGGTGGTGGTGTCCGAATGCAAACAGAGGCAAATTGGTTAGGAAACTTGCATTCCTGTTCTGAGTCCTGATGGTATTCCACTTCCCAATTTGATATCCTTAATTATCACTTGACTACTATTCCAAGTTATTCTTTTAGTTAGTTTTCTATCCAAAAAGGAGGACTGTTCTAAGGCACTATTCAAGGAGGATTAATATTTTAGACAGACACCTTGATTGGAAGACAGACTTATTAAAATGAGTTGCTGGCCGGCCCCGCGGCTCAATAGGCTAATCCTCCACCTAGCGGCGCCGGCATACCGGGTTCTAGTCCCGGTCGGGGCGCAGGATTCTTTCCCGGTTGCCCCTCTTCCAGGCCAGCTCTCTGCTGTGGCCCGGGAAGGAAGTGGAGGATGGAGGATGGCCCAAGTGCTTGGGCCCTTGCACCCCACGGGAGACCAGGAGAAACACCTGGCTCCTGCCCTTGGCGCAGCGCGCCAGCCGTGGTGGCCATTGGAGGGTGAACCAACGGCAAAAGGAAGACCTTTCTCTCTTTCTCTCTCACTATCCACTCTGCCTGTCAAAAAAAAAAAAAAAAAAAAAAGAGTTGCTCCAAGCCCTGCCTGGCGGTGCACAGTCCCCCTAGCAGATCTTGTTCCAGCAGACTGTGGTGGATAGTGGATCTAGTCCATGACTTCTAGGACCCCGCGGGCTGTTCATTATGTTATAGAGAAATAAAGCATTTACCACCTCCCGTTCCCTGAGCAAATAGCACACACCAACAGCTCTCTTCCAAAATGTAGAAACCAACCTGGAGCAGCTTCTGTATGTGAAAGTATTTGGAGGTATTAAGTATTGTGCAAACACCTGTGTGTGTCTAATTCCAGCCCAAACAATCTTCTTCCTGCTCATGAAGATGGAGAGAGAATTTACTTAAATGGAGATTACTATGTCCAGTAGAGTGATTTGTCTATTATTTCCTATAGAGGTTTTTCCCTCTCCACTTTTAAAATTGAAGTATAACTTACATACAATCAAATTTATGTATATTAAGTGCTTGATTCATTTTAATCATTTTCTTGTCCACATAACCCCATCCAAAATAAGAAAATCTGCTTATGTCCCTCTCCAATTCCCTTTCCCAGCCGTCTGACTTCTGTCCGTCTAGATTTCCATCTTGCCTTTTCTTATATTTCTTGCCTTTTCTTATATTTTCTTATATTTCCTGGAGATGAAGTCATACAGAATCTGTTGTGTCTGGCTGCATTGTGATATATTCTTCTAATGGAATGCTCCTCCATGATAAAAGGAACACACCACTGACAAACACAGCAGCATGGGTGAATCTCCTGTAGAATCTGCATGGAAGTGTGTAGAGTTCAGTTTCTTCAAAGGCCCTTCATGTTCTTAGTAACCACAAGGACCCATAAAATCTGCTTCTTCTACTTGCCTATCAGAGTGTGCCCTTGCCAACTCCATTATCCCTCTCTTTTCTCTTATAATGAAGAACAATTCCCGGAGAACATGGTCATTGTGTGCTCAGCTTATGGCTGATCGTGATAATGATTTTTGAAAGGAATTTAAAATTATATAATGATTTTAAAAAAGGAAATATGTTAGACATATTTCGCAGTATCTTTTTGGTATTTTCAATTGCCAGAAAGAATGAAAGCAGACCTACCCTCTCATGGGTGGCTGTCCAGCGGGCCTGGATGTTCATTTCATGACTGCTCCATGCTGTGTGCTGTGCACTTTTCATTGTCATGAGGGAAAATGTTAAGAAAACTATCCCCACAAGAAAACAGCTTTTCTTGGCAAGTGAAATCTGACTTATGAAGCCAGAACTGGAGACATACGGTACTATGAATGAGAGCTGTGTTACTTTATTGGATCTGAGTCCAGGCACTATTTATACTGCAGCATATTCAGCACCAGATTGTTAAATCTTAATACTGAAACAGTGCATCATTTTAATATTTTTGTTCTGTTTATTCCCTGTTTTCAAGCATTATGTCAAGCATTGCGCATTCATTTATTTCATCTTGGACAGGACGTGCCCTGACCAGAAAGTTCATTTCCTATTGTTGGAATTTTGCCGTGTGGCAATAGGGCATCGATAAAGCATCATTTTGTGAAGCTTTTCAAAGTTCACTTGGGTATACAGGTGTTCTCTCTCTTTGATGATAAAAATATTTTTTTAATGAATAGTGTAGTTGGGCTCACCTGTATTGTCAAAAATAAACAGGCTGTTTTTCTTTCATCTGTAAAACATAACTTTTTTTTGTTTTTATAATGTGTATATGACAATTTCTGACATCCAGGGGATCATTGGATTTTTCATTGCCTACAAGTAAAATTGTTGTTACCCTGTATTGTTGTGAAATGGGTTCCTCTGTTTTTCTTCATTCATGTTATGTGTGCCCTATGCACCGGCTAAGATGGGCCCATCCCTGAGTAAGTTAGCATTTTCTCTGTATGTTCCTGAAGCTGTCCCGCTCCCCTGCATGAATCTCTGTGCAAAAAGAGTATTCCTAACATCTGAAATCGCTGCTCTGGGTCGCCCAAGTTTAACCATGATTTTTCCTCTTTTCTCTTTGTCATGCATGTTTACCATATGCAGCAGGAAACCCACAGGGAAAGGGTACTATTGTCACTCTAAAAAAAGCTAGGGGATTAAAAAAAGAAAGGAAGTTTGAAGGCATTTTTGCTATTTCTGATCTGTGGTCAATCATTGTGCTATTGCATTTGGCCCAGGAAGGCAACCCCTCTGCCTGGAGAAACGTGGATCTGGAAATGAACTCTCACTGCTTCATCAGCTCCAAATGCTATTCGCACTGGGAGTCACACCACAGTCAGGATGTAACTGCGCGCCGAGCCCACACACAGGAATTCTCTTGTACAATTCAAAACCAAATCTTGTATTTACTTAAGACTTTTTTTTGTCTATGAAATCAGCAATCCTGTATATTTAGCATCAGTCTTAAGTTAGAATGTGAAGCAAGACTTTGAGGGAAGGAAGTGTCTGTATGGTTTTCTAAGTAATTTAAGAAACAGGGAAATAAAAGATCGCATCGTCCATGATTGAACCTCATCCTTTTCATCCCCATCTTCCTGTGTAGTTAACTAACTCTATTGTCAGCCAGAAAGAAATAGCTTATTGCACCAGGTTGTAAAATATCTGAGTGAGCCTTGAATGTTGACTATTGAATGACCTTCTTCACACTGGACAAACAATGGGAAGGTTTAATAAATAGCAGCTATGTGTTTATTCTGTTTTTCTTCCCTGCAGGAATAATCAAGCTGGGGAGGTGGAACCCTCTCCCCCTCAGTTATGTGACAGATGCACCCGACGCGACAGTGGCCGACATGCTACAAGATGTCTATCATGTGGTGACGTTGAAAATCCAATTACAAAGGTGGGTGTTTCTGAACATCTGCCTTGCCTTACTCTCGGAGCTGCTCCGTGGATCATAGATGCACTGCAGACATCAGCACATCCTGCCTTCATTAATTGCTAGACATTGGGTGAAATGGAAAAAGGGAGGAGAGGGGAGGGGAGGAGGGACTTCACCAGGCATCTTTATAGTCCACATTCCAACTGTTTTATGTTTTGTTTTCAGATGCAGTCAAGTGGTAACCTAGGGGCAACTTGATAAATCATTAAAAATCCACAGCCTTTAAAGGGGAACTGTCCACAGCGGCCTCATTCAATGCGTCCTCATTCAATGCGTCCTCCAGGCCCGGTTAAATGCTTAGGGCATAGTATTTGAAGAATAAACACCTCTTCTGTTTTCAAGTTTGTGTTATGGGGGATGAGTCTGGTTCTTGTTGCAGCTTCACCAAGAATGCCCTGGCATTCTCTCTCTTCCTTTTCTGGTAGCCACCTTGAAGACGTGGACTCTGTGGCCTGCGGAGATGGTGATGCTGAGAGTACTCCTCTTCCTTGTCTTCTTCCTTCTCTCCCTGCTTCCCTCACCCCCGTCCTTCCCTGGCTCTCTACTTCCTTCCTTCTCTTCCTCCTTTCTCCCTCCATCCCCCTTTCCTTTTTTCCAGATATTGTACCCAGAACAATAGTGCCACTAAAGAATCAGGAGTTTGTTCACCATCTTTTATTATCAGGTGCTGTCTGGTCTATATTAAAGGAATGTTGTCATCTAGTGCAAGGCTCCGATTTTCCCTTTTTGGAGAATCTGTGCTTTACAGGGACCTAATATCCCCGTCTTTATCTAGGAATACTTGAGAAGCTTATCTCTTAATTTACTATTATTTCTTTTCTTGTTAGGAAAGTGAAGGCCTGGAACACTTGTTTACTTTTATCCTTAGGTATTCCCAATAATTCAGTTAGTAATTTGGGGGAGTTTGCAGTCATACGGCTGGACCATTTATTTCAACACATGGGAAAAATCATATTTTTCTTTAAAAAGTGGCATTTTTTTCATATTCAAAATGTGCACTCTTCTTAGGGTAGGGTGACAATTGTCTTAGAGATGCCACTGGGCTCTCTCCTGATCCTGCAGAAACAGTTCGGCTCTGCTTCTCTCATCTAGGGCCACCTTTGACGCTGCTCCTCAGCTGTTCCCCCAGTGCTGGCACCGGACCCAGGGGGGACCAGCACACCACATGCTCTGCAGTTGGGGGCCTTTACTGAAGTTTGTGTGTCATTCATTCTCGCCCTGCTTTGCAGTTGTTCGAAGTTGGAAGACTTGCCTGCAGAGCAGTGGAACCATGCCACAGTGCGCAATGCCTTAAAGGAACTGCTCAAAGAGATGAACCAGAGCACATTAGCCAAAGAATGCCCTCTCTCCCAGGTCAGTATCTCCACGGGGGGCTCTGGGGAACAGAGAATGCCACTGAGACCATCTGATACAAGGAGCACCCCTGATTAGACAGCTGTCTTCCCCATCTTTCATATAGAATCTCCTTCCATTTGAGGTGGAAAAAAGGGAGAGATTATAGTGTTTTCAGTTGTAGAGTAGAATTTATCACTTGTTGAGAGCTTTGATGGAGGAGGAGTGTATTAAAACTTTTTTTTTTTTACATAATCATTCACTTCTCTCACATGTGTTATCAGAGGTAGTAATCAGTATCTCCATTTTATAAAGAAATCAAGGCTCAGGGAAATAGATTTGCTGCTAATGCTTACTCAGCTAGTTCTGTGAGCGTTGAGACATTCCAGACTTCCCATATCTGAACTGGTCATTGGTTTCTGGGTCCATGGAATGGGTCAGCCATGCTAAATGAATGCTTCCATGATTGCCTGAACCACTTCCCTGTCTGTTGGACAGAGGTGATCTTTACCTTGTATACATTTGTAGAGATTTTGTAGCAAATTCACTCCATGAGAGTACATAAGACAAAGTGATCTTCCATTTTTAGTGAGCTGATTATAACCTTAACCTGCCACACAAGTAAGAGTCCCTGGGGGATCAATGGAGGAAGTCAAAGCAAACTGTGTAAGTTATGAGCCACTTGAGCTTGGCAGTTGCATAAAGCAATGATTCAGGAGATAGTACACATTTTCTTGAACATCCCAGAGGTCTGTAATTCATAAAAGCAGCCTTGAAGGAAGGAGACAAGCATGGTGAAGTCCACAAAAGGGTAAAAATTGTAGCTCAGGGCCTATATATTTAAAAGGGGGAAGTCATGATTTAGCCATTCTCTGTCTAGCCCGATGTTTAGAAAGTATAGGTTGTGTTTGCGTGTCTGTGTATTTATTTTTGATTTCACCTTTCAAAGTATGTTCCGATGCTGACAACCTCTTCCTTTTCCTCTGAAGTTCCCGTGAGTCACCACTTCCAGCCTCTTCAGTCACAGAGCCACCCCAAACCACCTAATTTGCTGTACCTTAGGCACAGGCCTCCCTTATCAAGCATTCCAATTTGAACACATTATGATCACATCTTTCTGTGGCTTATTCATTCTTACCCAAGGAAGTATTGAAAGACGGAAGGTCCATTTTGACCATAAAGCTCCAGGCTCCCAGGGTTTTAATGTGGACATTAGTAAGTAGATTTTCATCATCCCAAACTGAAAGTGTGTAACCATTAAGTCATAATTCTCTATTATTCTCTTCCCTTCACTCCTAGTAAAACTTATATATATATTTTTAAGATTTATAATTTATTTATTTTATCAGAAAGGCAGAATTACAGAGAGAGAGGGAGAGACAGAAAGATCTTTCATCTGCTGGTTCACTCCCCAAATGGTCAAAAAGCTGGAGCTGGGCCAGACTGAAGCCAGGAGCCAGAAACTTCTTTCAGGCCTACCACATGGGTTTAGAGGCCCAAGCACTTGGGCCATCTTCTGCTGCTTTCCCAGGCACATTAGCAAGGAGCTGGATTGGAAATGGAGCAGCTGGGACTTGAACCAGTGCCCATATGGGATACTGGTGCTGCAGGTGGTGGTTTAACTGGCTAAGCCACAGAGCAAACCCCAAAACTTCTATTTTCTGTCTTTATGAATTTGCTGTTCTAGATACTAGGTACCCCATATGAGTGGAATTCTAGAATATTTGCCCATTTTTACTGGTCTATTTTACTTAGCATATCTATTTAATTTATATTAAAGATTTATTTGCTTATTTGAAAGGTAGAGAGACAGAGAGAGCACACACACACACATACACACTCACACACACACAGATCTTCTACAGATGGTTCACTCTCCAAATGGCTGTAACAGCCAGGTCTGGACCAAGCTGAAGCCAGAAGCCAGGAACTCCATCTGGGTCTCCCACATGGATAGACCAGAGCCATCTGCTGTCTTCCTAAGGCTCATCAGAAGGAAGTTGCATCAGAAGTGGAGAAGCTGTGACTTGATGCAGCGCTCTGATTTGGGATCCTGGTGTTACAAGTGCCACATGCTAGCCCCTAGTTAATGTTTTTAAAGCAACCTTATCCCTTGCCTCCTGCTGAGATTTTGTTGCCAAATGTTTGAGAAACAAAATGACTGTTCAGAGTTACTAAACTGTCAAGATGTCATGAGACTTCAGGACAGTGGTGTAGCATTTACACAGTCTGTCTTTAGAAACCGACTGTAGGGTACTTATGTCTGTTATTCTAAATCAGCCTTTCCCACTTGGGACTCATTAATGGGCCTGACTTGTGTGTACAATATGCCAAAATAGTTGGGCAGTGAAATCAAGCGACCAGTTGGGTCAGTAGAAGCAAACAGATTGAGCATGTGCACATCTGCAGACAAGTGGCTGACCAAGTGCATGGACCAGTATCGTGCTAACCAGTAGTCAGCTGTCTGACTTAATCATAGGTCCATGCATGTAGTAGTGATGTGTCCTGTCTTGTGTTAGCCAGTGGCCAACTGTCCGTTTTAGTTATTTTCATGTGAGGTTGTTTTAGTTCGTGGCCTAACCTCATGAACTCACGTTGAAGGAAGTTCACAAATGGCAGCTTGAAAATAATTCTCCACTTGGCCGGCGCCGTGGCTCAATAGGCTAATCCTCCACCTTGCGGCGCCGGCACACCGGGTTCTAGTCCCGGTTGGGGCGCCGGATTCTGTCCCGGTTGCCCCTCTTCCAGGCCAGCTCTCTGCTATGGCCAGGGAGTGCAGTGGAGGATGGCCCAGGTGCTTGGGCCCTGCACCCCATGGGAGACCAGGAAAAGCACCTGGCTCCTGGCTCCTGCCAGGATCAGCGCGGTGCGCCGGCTGCAGCGGCGGCCATTGGAGGGTGAACCAGCGGCAAAGGAAGACCTTTCTCTCTCTGTCTCTCTCTCACTGTCCACTCTGCCTGTCTGTGGCCCCGTGGCTCTGCCGTGTGCTGGATAGCTCCTGTCCCTGGGGTCCCCCTCCGGGGGAACTATTCTCCACTAGAGAGTTGCAGACACCCTAAGAAATGATGGCATGCTGAGGACAGAAAGGACACTTGTGGACTCCACGTGTGGTCCTAGTCCTTCCACGTGAATCATCTCCCTGAATCTCCCTCTGCAGCCCTGCGGCCCACGTGTCAGCATCCCCCGTCACGGATGAGGGGGCTGGCATCAGACACACGAGCTGTTCAGCGGCGACTTAGGAGAAGAGCCCTCAGGTGTGGCCTCCTCGTACTCCAGAGCCTATAGAAAGCATTTCTTTCCACCAGAATAGCAAAAGTTTTCCGTTCTCATATTATAGCTCAGAAAGAGGAGGGAAAGGGATACTAGAATGCTGCCAAATGACATTAAATGAATTTTTCATGACAACGTAATTCCTCCAAATCAGTTTTTTCCCTTTACTATATTTAATTGAAGTATCATTATAACCTCATGTTTAATATGTTACTTAGCATATCACAAAGCAACTGGAAAAGGCTGAAAATGAGCAAAGAATGCACTTATTATTCATTGACTGTCTGACGCTGTCTCCCTCATGTAGAGGTGGCAAGGGGGGCCCAGAGATGCTGCCTCGCCCCTGCACACAGGGGATCCTCACTGGACACAACAGAACATAGAACTGTTCACTCTGGTTGCAGAATGTTGTCTTTCATAGCAAATGTATTACGTATCTGCCATTTAGCTACTGCTAGTATCACATTGTTGTTCAAACAAATCAGTTCCACCAAGGGGAATGCAGTGCAGGTTATCCAATTATTTTATATTTCTCTCTCTCTCTCTCTCTCTCTCTCTCTGGGAAAGGAGATTCTCAGATATTTGTCTTTGAAAGTATGTTGTAGAAATCATCTTACCCTGTGTTTATTGTTTTGCTTTTTCCTATTAAATTTTAAATTGCCTTTGGGTTTCTTAGGTTTCTCTGATTCTAATTTTTTTTTTAAAGATTTACTTATTTATTCGAAAGGCAGAGTTACATAGACAGAGAGAGAGAGAGAGAGAGAGAGGTCTTCCATCTGTAGGTTTGCTCTCAAAATGGCCACAATAGCCAGAACTGGGCTGATTTGAAGCCAGGAGCCTGGAGCTTCTTCTGGGTCTCCCATTTGGGTGCAGGGGTCAAGAACTTGGGCCATCTTCTACTACTTTCCCAGGCCATGGCAGAGAGCTGGATTGGAAGTGTAGCAGAGCTGGGACTCGAACTGGCACCCATATGGGATGCCGGCACTGCAGGTGGTGGCCCTACACACTACGCCACAGTGCCAGCCCCTCTTATGTATCTTAACACAGAACTTTATTCATAAAATAATCTTGTTACAAGTCCTTGTTTGTGCCGGCGCCACGGCTCAATAGGCTAATCCTCCGCCTGAGGCACTGGCACACCGGGTTCTAGTCCCGGTTGGGACGCCGGATTCTGTTCCGGTTGCCCCTCTTCCAGGCCAGCTCTCTGCCGTGGCCCAGGAGTGCAGTGGAGGATGGCCCAAGTGCTTGGGCCCTGCACCCCATGGGAGACCAGGAGACCTGGCTCCTGGCTTCAGATCAGCGTGGTATGCCGGCCGCAGCGGCCATTGGAGGGTGAACCAATGGCAAAGGAAGACCTTTCTCTCTGTCTCATTTTCTCTCTCACTGTCTACTCTGCCTGTTTTTTTTTTTTTTTTTTTTTTTTAAAGTCCTGTTTGTGTGATGTTTTTGGTAGTGTCTTTCCAAACAGGGACCTCCGCAGGTGCCAATTGCACATGTGTGCTCATCCTTTCCATAATCCCCCACCATGTGAAGTGACATGTGCCTGGTAAATGTAGTCATTTTTATATTAGCCTCAGCAACACATAGTTCCTTTGCCAAGTGTTCAAAAATACCAATACACATATATTGTTTGTTGACACAAGACTTAACATTATGGATTTTATGTTTTAAATTTATATTATTTATAATACGACTTCATGTTAACATAGATACCAAAGAGTTCATGGCACTCTTGATTGACCAGATAGACTCAGATCTTGTTCATTTACTGAAAAGGTGTGAGGATCCTGAAAGTCTAACTGTGTGGTTGCTCTAGAATGATTGAGAAACATATAAGTTTAACATAAACTACAGAAATTTATGCATATTTTTAAAAAACCCCTAAATGGAATTATATCTTTTTTGGCAGCATAGTGGGTGGGAAAGATTTTAGTCATTACTCATCCTATTCTGTACCAACTGTATCTTATCAGGTTGAAGATGTTATTGATTGTCACAGGCTTCTCTATTTTAGTGACATTGGGTTATTTTTTACAAAATGTCCTTAGAATGGATGACATAGAGTCTTTGTGTCCCAGGGCGTCTGGAGAACATAACTTCCTCTGGACTGCAAGCCAGCATGTGCTGGATCTATGTTTCAAGTGCCTTCTACTTTGTGTGTTTTTTAAATTTGGATTTAAAAAAAAAATTGGCACTAACATTAAGAAAACCTTGTGTTATGTGTCCAGAGTATTCTAGTATGGCCTTCTGTTTCAGACTCGGGCTCTGAGAGCACAGTTTTGATTTAGGGTTTGATTTGGGATTAGAGAATGAATGTTCATGTTGAAACTGGAATAGTCAGAAGAAATATGATCTTTCCCCAGAAACATCCCCAAGATGCACCTCCTCTGTTTTTAAATCCATAACAATCCATATCCCTAAAGCTACTTTAGATATCAACTATGTATAAAGACCCACAGGAAATTAATATGAGTAAAATGTGCCCAAACTGAAAGAGATCTTTCTGGTGATTAAAGCTGCTCGGTATGTAGGAAATAGTCTTTATTTGCCAGCTAATTTCTTTGCTCAGTTCACACCTTCAATCTGTTTATTTTTTACTCCATATCAAATAGAGGTAGGAACACTTTTATAGTAGTCTGGGGAAGAAAAATCTTATTGGGTGAGTTCACCTGCCTGTCTTTCAATTGAGTGGTATGGAATGTAGGGCCTGGTGTTTGGAGTCACTAGAGTCACTAGAGCACATATGTGACAAGCACTCATTTCCTTGTCACATATGTTAACATTGGCCTTATGCAGTGTCCATCAGTATGCAGGTGGCTCAAGGACAAAGTGGGGGTGGCTAGAGAGTGATGGAAATGTGAATTATCTAAGGTCAGAGTAATTTGGGTTTGAGGTCTCACTTCACGGGCCAGAAGTATTGGGTAACAGCTGCAGGCAGTATGTAGACACTTACCATGGTAGTCTCCTTTTTAGACCATTTTGCAATTGCAGTTTTAAGACTTGACTGTTGTCTTGGCTGATATATTCTATGCCTTCGCAGAGTATAATATTAATACAAATAAGGTAGAGCAATGACAGGTACATTTGCAGTTATTCACATACAGCGCTGTAGCTGGTGCACCTATTATTAGTCTACTTACATGTTAAAATTTTTATTATGACATTTCAGTTAGGTATTTTTAAATTTTATCTCTGTCCCTTTTCATGTGTTAAATTTCAGTGACGCAAATACTCCACATAAGAACTATGTGAGACACGAGGTAGTGAGAAAAATGCAACAGACACAGTCGCTGTCCTCAACAGTCTCACAGTCTAGGAGCAAAGAGAAAATCTGAGCCCAGAGAGGGAGCTAAGCAGGAAACTACTTTACTTGCTTGTTAATAATATGCAGAGCAAGGCTCAGGGAGATTAGGATTCCATGCATCCCCTTAGGCAGCCGCCAAGACTTCCTAGATTCTGTGAAACACTGAGGTGATACCCACTCTTTGAGTTCCATGTTGTGTTCAGACCCCAGAATTAAAAGTGTTCTCCTACCTCTCCCTTGATAGAGAAAATAATTATGGTATAGAGGTCAGCAACTAGGGGAAGGCTAGCCATCTGCTACGAAGAAAGAGCCAAAGAGGTTTCTGGGAATTGAATTAGGAACCCCTACCCTACCCCCACCCACCAGTGCTGCATAGTGATTAAAAAAAAGGGAGGGAGTCTATGTAGGACTGTCTGCTGGCGTTTGAACCTCCTGGTAAATAACTTGCCAGTGACTTGATTTATTGTTATCCTTTTTATCTCTACTACTTTGTAGAAATGTCATTAGAAGTTCTAAGATTTCTCTGAACTGCTCTATGTCTGGGGATAACTTTTGGAGAAAGATGAGATTTCAAGGCGAGATATAAAACCTGAGGCAGATCATTTGGATCTCTTGAGTTATGTAGGCCTACTTGTCTTGTTTTTTAGACAAATTTTGCAGAAAGAAAATCTCCCTGTAAAAATACGCATGCTGTATCACAGTCAATGCAGGTTTAAGTTAACATCTGCCACGATGTTGACCCAGGCTTGCCATATTGGCTGCAGGCATCTCTCAGTGGGGCATTTGCTTCAAGGTGTGCAATTATAATTTTAGTTTTTCAGCACAAAATCAGATTATGCTCCCCCTTTATTTCCTTTTAATGTCAGTTACGAACAGATCAGCTAAGAGATTGAGCTGAGGAAGGAGAGGAGGAATCATGTATGTAAGAACCAGAAAGTTTTAACTTTGAATCGATTTTGGTTGAAACACAGTACAAGTGTTATGTTTAGTTTCCTCTGCTCTAAAATAGCACTGTTAATTTTTTCATTTGGTGAATTTTCACACAAGTGTTAATCACACGTTTCTATAAATTATATTAATTTAACTTATTTCCCTAAACGTTGTTCTGCAGTGTGTAGCACGGATGTTCTCAGATTCTTGGCTGTGTAAGCTTGTTGCAGTTGGAAGCAGAACAGAAACATCTGAGAGGCATTATTTGGATTACGGGTGCTGGAGCATCTGATCTCACCTTTTGCTCGGGTTCCTAAATCACAACTGTTCTTCCCCTTTGCATTTAATCTGCATATTGCATTCCTTCCAGCTTTGACATTACCCTAGAGTTGGCTTTTTGGAGAAAAGCACTGTTACCATATAAGTTTAAGGGACAGTAAATACAGCAATCAAGTTTAAAAGACAAAAAAGATTGGTCTAAGTTATAATGTGTCCTCTCTTGTCCCTAAAAAGGAATAGTCATATTTTTAAAGAATAACTCTTTCTTGTTCTTTTCAGAGTATGATTTCATCCATTGTAAATAGCACATACTATGCCAATGTGTCAGCAACCAAGTGCCAGGAGTTTGGGAGATGGTATAAAAAGTACAAGAAGATTAAAGGTAAACTTACTCTTTTGTTTTTAAAGCCTGTTTTCAGCTTCTTCAGTCCGTAAATTGTTGATTGTTTGGAATTTATGTTAATTTAAATATATATATATATATATATATATATATATATATATTAGCAAGGATAAGATTCTTATTATTTCTGTTATGAGACCCAGATTGGCTCCCTTAAAACTAAGGTGGTGTTAGAGTCAGGAGGAGCAGACTTAGCATAATTTATTAAGTTTCTGTTTTTCATAAGTGATACGTGTCAGGCCCAAATCCTTTAGAATGAAAAATGTAAAAGCAGTCATTTTAGGTTATATAAGCACTTACAGTCTAAGTACTGGCGAACAAATCAGAAGGACTGTGGTAGAGTCAGGAAATCCTTGGTCAGAGGAATTTTGATCTTAGATTTATTTGGAGACAGAGTGGTGGTCAAAAGAATGACTCTCAGGTCTGGTAATCCTGTGTTCAAATCTTTGTCTTCCTCTTGTTGGTTTGTATGAGCTTGAGCAAATTATTGGACATACCCAAAGCTCAATCTCCTTTGAGCACTGGAAGTCATAAAAGTACCATGTTTTGCATGGTTATGACATTATCATCACTCTTTATGTAGGTTTTCATAATATTGCTGACTTCTCACTGCCTCTTGCTGAAGCCCAGTGACAATTTACAGTGGCTAGGTGAAAGTAAAGGATGAATTTCCTTGTTGTACCACCTGTAGGTTTCCTCAGGGGAGACAGAGTGGTGAAATGATGCTTGGTGGCTTTCAGGTGTTTGGGAGCTTGTCTACATGGTTACCTTTTGAGAAAATGACCCTTGTAGCACTTGGGAGCATGTTTCCAAATACTGAGTCATTAGAGCTTTTCATGCTACATATGCAGTTCATAAGGAAAGTAAAAAATGTTGAGCTACCCTGGAGAAGTTAGAATGATGATGTATTTCTTGTCAACATATTTTAAAATTCTTAGGCTTCTTTAGATTCTGGTTTGGACACCTGCTTTAGAATATATTTTTTAAAAAGAATATTATTTATCCTTAAACAGGATAAGATGAATAACTCCTTATTATGAGACATAACTGTGGTTCACAAGGGGTGCTTTTCTTTAAATGTTGCCTCCAAGTTTTTCTTCCAAAACAGGATTGTTAAAGTACTTGAACATATCCTCTTTGGCTAAAAATCCAGAGAATCATTCAGTGTCAAGGTCGTTTGTTAAATCTCGTTTACTTGCTGCTGTAAGAGAAAGGAAGAGAGGGTCCTCTTTTAATAGGCTGGAGTGTAATTCCAGATTCGGAAAGACTGGAAACTCTTCTCTGTAGTGTTTTCAGAATTTCCAATGAAGAACATGTGTGTGTGTGTGTGTGTGTGTGTGTGTGTGCGCATGTTTACACTCACGTCTTACACTCTTCTCTCTTTCTTAGAGATTCAGTTCTTTAAGTTCTTTTTTTTTTTTTTCAAGATAGTAAATGCACAGTTAAATCTTTAAGTGCTATAAAAGCAGCCAGAGACCTTGATTTCGCTCAGCAGGTCAAGGACCCCAACTGAAGAGGCTGTCAGACACTGTGTACACATGCTATTCAAAGAGAGGGAAGCAGTCACTGCTGTGGAGCAGTGTGTGTGTGTGTGTGTGTGTGTGTGCTGGGAGGAGGAGACAAGGGAAGGTTAAGGTATGTGTGAAGTAAACACAAGCTGCCATAAAGCAGTTCAAGTGGTGTTGATTCATCAGCCAAGGCAGTGGGAGGAAAAACAAAGAATTCATGACAGGTATAATGGTATACGGAAAATAAACACCCAGAGAAGCGCGTTTTATTAACTTTCGACCCACAGAAAAAAAAGGAAGTGTTGGACCTAGATAGGTGCATTCCATCATAGAGAAGCTTCCTACTGTGAATACGTGCTGCTGTGAGAGTTCTCACCAAAGCAGACCCACTGCTCATGGGAAAGCAATTGTTTGGTTTGTGAAATGTTTTTGTGTCCATCCATTTTCAAAATGGAAAAAAAAAAAAGGAATCATTTTCAAATCTGGAAATGAGTTTATAGAAAATCCAGAATTCTACCTTAGGGGCTCTTCCTGGAACCCAGAAGTCAGAGTTCCGTGTCTCTCCCAGCCTCCCACCCCACAAGTTACCAGCTTAATGTACAAGTGTATAAGAAATTCTCAAGTTAACTTACTGATGTTGCAAATGCAGGCTACATTGTTAAATATGTTTCATATTATCTGCTAATGTCTGTTTTAATAAAACAGTGGGAACTAAATGGTTGCTTCTTAATGAAAACCATGATTTCCTAAACATAAGCTATGTGATTCTGTTACAAATTGCCACATATAGATCTCCTAGGTCAAAATTTTTTTCCCTTTTCATAGAAATAAATAAACAGTAAAATAATTATATACTCTGAAAGATCAAAGTAAATATGACAAAAACCTGGCAAAAATAAAAGTCTACTGGAAGCATTAAAAAAAAGATCAAATTGCAAATTCTATAGTTAATGCTTAAATAAATATGAGAAAAATGAACAATCAATAATTTGATATCATTAAAAACAGATGTAAAAACTGTATACAAATGGACTTGTCTAAATTTTGAAGTAAACATTTTAATGTGCATTTTTTGAACTTGTTGTTATTATAGCTAAACTATTTACACTTATGCTTTAAAAAGTCCTAAATTGGTTTGGCTTAGCATGTTAACTTTATTTTCCCCAGTGATCACAGCAAAGCACACTCTGTTTACCTATTTTCTTTAATTTCAAAGACAATCATGGTTGACACAGACATATTTGAGTTAGCATTAGCATTACTTCAGGATAGTTGGGGAGACAGAGTTTGTATACTCTGGTTTCAAGGTCCACGACCATGAACCTACTTCCCAGGAGTTTTTGATACTGAAAAACAATGGAGTGGGTCACTGAGTGGATAAGGTAGTAGGTTGGTTTAGACAGCATTTTTAATTTGTAAAAAAGACTCATTTATTTGAAAGAGTGACAGAGACGGGGGGAGACACACAGAGAGAAATCTCTTCCATCCACTGGTAACACTCCCTAAATGCCTGCAACAGTCAGAACTGGGACAGGCCAAAGTCTGCAACCAGGACCTTCGTGCTGGTCTTCCACAGGGTGGCTGGGACCCAGTATATCATGCACTGCTTTCCCAGGTGCATTAGCAGGAAGCTGGATCAGAATTGGGAGAGCTGGGACTCAAACTGGTGCTGCAGTGTGGGAGGCCAGCATCTCAAGCTGTGACTTAACCCACTGTGCCACAATGCATGCCCCTAGATGACATGTTTTAATTTGTTGCTCATCTCATGCAATAGTCACTTCTGACCTAGTTTGTGCAATGTAGAGCTCAGAAGCTCCCAAGTATGAAAAAAAATGTATGTTTTATTTTAAAAGCAAAAAAAAGAAAAAAAGAAAAAGGAAGACCAATATTAACAATTGTTTAATATTTAGCTGTTTTTCTCTTGGACACAGGATAATCCAAAGATACCTAGAAACATTCATGCTATTATAAGCTTGCATTCAAGGTTTAGGAATTACAAGGGATTTTTCTCATCACTTCTGTTTCTAAAAACCCAAGTATTCTTTTGTATGAACTTTAAACATGAACTTGTCCTGTCATTTTTTATGAAACTAAATGGCAATTATATTTCCAATACCACCACCAATTATGCTTTTATGGCAATCTATGTTAGCAAGGGATATAATAAAAACAAGGAAGTGTCTTAATGAAGAAGTTCTCATATTCTAAATGTATCCCAGTTAATAAATTAAAAAATAATTTTACATCTAAAAATGTGTTTTTCATCTGATTCCAAAAGCAAAATGAATTTTCATCTTTTCTGAGGTCAGTCTCAACTATTTAATATGTCTCAATAACTGAAGGGTCATTTAAAGTTCACACAAATACTGGTGGTATCATAAAATTATTTGTGTCATAAAATAATACCACTAGAATGAATGCATCTAACCAAATCCCATATTTTGGCCAGAGTACAAAATTTTCCCTGTCACTTTCCTTTTCTCAATCATTGCTCAAGAACCCCTTGATTGCTAGTTGTCTTAATTTTATTTGCTTATTTGAGCTTATTTTGCAAAATATTAAAAAAAAACTGGGGAAAAAAGAGGATTTTAAAAATCAGTGTTACTTCCCAAGCCTGGTTTATTCTAGTAATCAGTATTTTATCTGACCCTGTCTGATCTAGTCTTGCAAGATCAAACGTGCAGGCCAGCAAGCAGGCAGTAAACAAAGCCAGAGAAGGGTTTGGGTAAACACAAAGATTAGATGTTGAATGAAAATTAAACTCCTTGAACTAGTCCTCTGTACTAAAGTGGTTAAGTGGGTTGTGATTAAAAGAAATAAGTAATTATGATCATTATAGCTGAAATGATATAATGTTACCACATTTAAAGCACCTCTTGTACCCGAAAATGAATGTGTCATTTACGAAGTGGTGCCTCAGAGTTGAATAGAGAAATCAATGTCTCCTGACTGGGTTTCATAAGGCAGCCCTTGCTTAGCCATGGTGGTATCAGTGGTCAGGACAATGCCTTTAATCAACTCTTGGTACTTCTGCCTCTGCTGTTGTGTAGCTCTGATGAGGTAAAAGTAACTTTTGTCTACCTAATCTTTTTGAGTCATGAAGAAAATTTGATTTCACCTTCAGATCTAAATGAAGGTGTTCTGGAAGGAAGTCTGTCTGCCCTTGCTATATTGTACCTTCCTGAAAGTAATGCCAACCTCATATCCTTTGAATTTTGTATAAATACTGGATTCAGGGAAATAAAAACATCACTTCCTTAAGGAATCACTTTCCCTCTCACTGGTTTTCCAACATTTGGAAGAGCCCTGTGCATTTTCAGTGACACAGATTCATTGATCATCTCTGATGATTAGAAACTGGTTAGAAACTTACTGGTCATGTCAGCAAGCTAAAAAACGGTGTGTGGGAAATGCCACAAGTACTGAGCTCAGATATTGACTGATTCCTTGCTTGCACCTTAAGAAGCTCAT